GTATGTGTGTGTATGTGTATGTGTATGTGTGTGTGTGTATATGTGTATGTGTTTGTGTCTGTTGGAATGGTCAACAATGGCTGACAATTGAATTTCAACAATTATAAAGGACGCTAATAATGACAACAAAGGGATGATATTATAACAGAAAATAATCGAATGATGAAAAGTTGAAGGACATTACAATCTATTATCAGTTGTGGTAATTTATTTAAACATAATTTGTTAAATTTAGCAGCTATAAATGATGAAAGTTTTTTTTTTACAATATTCAAATGAATATGGATGAAGATAGAATACTGTACGCAGAAGCAACATTAAATTTGGATCCGTTTATTTCATATGAATTTAACGATAATTAAATTGAATTAAATGATTAGTAGGTAATACAATAAGTGTTAAATGATTATGACAATCTTCAGCGCGACAAAGATAATTGTTATAATAAATGTTTAAGGTAGATTAAACAAGTTTAGTTCATTTACATATGTTTTGCTAAATTTGGTAGTGATAACGGTAGTGATAGCGGAGATTAACGACAATAGTGTCAAATAATGGTGATAATGTAGATTGATTAAACGGTATATTGATTTGAAAAATTGTTCTGTATATGTATATATAACAGGTTCTTAGATAAAGATAAATGCACCTTTAGTGATCAGATGATGGTAATAATGATGTACGGAAACAACTCCGAAACCAGTTTTAATTAATACACTTCAATCCGTGTCATAAATATTTTGCGTTCTTATCATTATGAGTATCATTATAATCATCTTAATCGTTGCAGTCATAATTCATCATTGTCCTCATTATCTCTAAATTAACACAATTAAATAAATTATACATGACTGATTCATTTAAAAGTGCGCCATTATCATACTTAATTCATTTGAAATTAATTAATTTATATGTGAACTTACTAAATGACCAATTTTTATAATATAACGACTGACTGACTGAAATTTTTATTTTTAAAAAAAAAATTTGATAAATCTCGACTTTTTTTTCCTTTTCATTGATCTCTTCCGGTTAATTTGCAATTTCCCTCGCTATTTTTCAGTTCGAACTATCATTCTCAGAGATAACAGAAACAAAAATGATACTGAAATTGAAAAAAAAAAACAACTAACATATTTACTGAAGTATCTATTACCTAACTTTTCTAAAATATTTTATTTTCACACAATCCTAATCATATCATGAATTAATTATTGATAGCTAACCGAATATTTTTAATCAATACCTTTTTTCTCTGCAAAATGATCGAAAAATTAATAATTTAGCTTATGACGCTGCAAAATTGTTGCCTATGAAATTTTTACCTGGAACTATTGCTACTTTGCAACATTTAATTATTGGCAGCTATGCAAATGATTGCAATAATTAATAAATTATTTTTCATTCAAAATACGTTACTTGCAAGCTCAAGGTTAAATAGAATTAAATAGCAATATTATGCTGTCATACCATTTCGAATTTTTCATTGCTTTACATCATTCACAAAATTAATATCTTTTATATTTGATTTGTACAAAAAGTTCAATAATCTTATCAAAATGAACTGAAATGACATGGAAGAAATTCAATCTATGATTGCAAATAAATGAGAAAATTGATAATAATTGTTGAATGAAACGAATGAGAATCTACCTTATATTAACAAATCTACATCAATAAACGCAATAAATGTCACATTAATCTTCCATTAATTGCTATTTATATTATGGTCCTGTAAATTTAAGTATGGTAATTTATAAATTAATTAATCCTTTTCCGGCCCATACATGCAATAAAATTAAACTAAATTTTTTTATATTTTTCAAAATCGTAATTCATAAATTAACTAATCCTTCTCCGATCCATACATATAATAAAATTAGACTAATTTTTCTTCATATTTCTAAAATCTTTTTTATATTGTTCGAAATCTTCAAAAATTTAATTATTAGTTAAAATTTTAATGCTAATACTTATTCACGCTAATTCCTTGTGTGAATTGCGCAAGCCATCTAATGCATGGAAACTTTTCATGCTTTTCTTTCTTTCTAAAAATTTTCCATCTACAGGTATTGGAATTTAAAAAAATTAATACATAAAAAAGTTTCACTCTGTGACTTGCGGAAATCAACAATAAATTAAAGGTTCTAATCCACACATATTGTCAAGAATTCAAGTGTTCTATTTATATTTACAACCAACTGTTCAAATTTAATTTATGATTGCGTACATAAACTAAATTTCAATTCTTCAACTTACAGACAAGTAATAAAAAATGATCTCCGATAAGATTATTTCTCCTTTACTATGAAGTCCCACAAAACATTTATTTTACTTCTGATAAATATTTAAAATTTGGCAAGCAATAATGACAATACTTACACTGCTTACAATCTTCGGATGAAATTTGATTTTGATCTGCATCCTCTGACCATCTTCTTTATAAAACGAAAGATAAATTTCAGTATACCAATCACTTCAAAAAACTATTTCAAAAAATGCGTACATTATAAGTTTAACTGATCGAAAGGTTTGCATATCTTTGCTATCAACAATAACAATTGTCTTCTGTAAATTTTCAAAGTTTTCTAACAAATAAGTTTTTCCAAAGTTTTTCAATAAAATTTTCCAAGGTTTCCTAATAAATAAAAATGAAAGACGGAGAACAATCATAAATTTGAAGTAGCTAGCATGATAATAATAATAATTATCACTAGGAAATAATAATAATTTTTAATAACAATAAAGACAATAATAATATTGAG